CATCAAGGAAAACCAAAGATTGATTTTGGATTGTCAAACGCAGTTGCTCATAGAATGCTCGTGTATACAGATCCTCAATGCTTTAACGGTCAAAGATGTACGTGTAACAAGAAATCAGATGTATATAGTCTTGGAATGATTCTTTGGGAAATTTCAAGTGGTATACCACCTTTTCAACCCTTTACATCGAAATATTCGCTTGTTCATCACATCTCAAAAGGAAATAGAGAAGATCCAATAGAAGGTTCACCACTTCAATATGTTAAACTTTACAAACAATGTTGGGATGAAAATCCCAACATTCGTCCGACAATGAAAACAATTGTTGAAACTTTAGACAAGTTTATTCCGAACGAAATTTTAAATCGGCATCTTCCTAATGAATTCACTTTCTCAAATCAACAAGGAAATATAAATTTAAATTCACAACAAAATTCGCAACATAATTCACAACATAATTCAGTTGAAATACATGAAATCACTGTATCTTCGCTTGTTAATCAGAATATACGTGCAGATAAAAGAAAGGAAGCGCCACATGAATCACATGAGATCACCGAATCATCGTTTGTTAATGGGAATTTACTTGCAAATAAGAAAAAGAAAGTGTCACATGAAATACATGAAATCACAGCATCTTTGCCTTCTAATAGTAGTATACTTGTGAAAAAGAGAAAGGAAGCGAATAAATGTTTAAATGAAGGTAGATTTATTGAAGCATTGGAAATTTATGAAGAAATTCTCATGAACAGCCAACATAGTATTGAAGATCAAAAAAATGCTTCAACTTGGGATCTTTCTTGTAGATGTGGATTTGGAAGAATATACGATTTAGTAAAAGCAATGAACAAAAGTACCACGCTGACTTCTCTGAAACTTAGTACTAATCGTCTTAAACCAAACGCAGGAAAGGCATTAGCAAATGCACTTTGCAATAACACCACACTAACCTCTTTGGATCTTTATTACAATAAGCTTGGATTAGAAGGAGGAAAAGCATTAGCAGAAGCACTTTATAAAAACAAGACGCTGACTTCTTTGGCACTTGGTTCTAATCAAATTGGACCCGAAGGAGGAAAAGCGTTAGCAAAAGCACTTTGCAAAAATACCACGCTGACTTCCTTGATTCTTTTCAATAATAATCTTGGATTAGAAGGAGTAAAAGCATTATCAGATGCACTTTGCAAAAATACTACACTGACATCTTTAAATCTTGATCGAAATGAAGTTTGCTCAAAGGGAGGAGAAGCATTAGCAGAAGTGCTTTGTAAGAACACCACGTTAACCTCTTTGGATCTTTATCGTAATCGGCTTGGAACAGAAGGTGGAGAAGCATTAGCATATGCACTTTGCAAGAACAACACACTAACATCTTTGGATCTTTGTTGGAATAATCTTGGATCACGAGGAGGAAAAGCATTTGCAAATGCACTTCGTGAGAACAATACCTTGAAAGAATTAAATCTTCAAAATAATAATTTGGGA